AGTCACCCCAGCACAAAAAAAAAAAAACAACAACAAATCAGAAGTCGTCGCTCTGCACTGGATCGCTGTCGTAAGTCCTGAATTAGATTTATTGATTAATGAGCATGCTTCACGCGGAAAACAATGGAATTCCATTCCGACGAGTAGAGTTAGTGAAATTGACCTCACCTGTCTATTTGTTGACTGTTCTCACAAAATTATATCGTCGAGTGGTACATGACACGCGGATGGTTCCGATCCGGTGAGGTTCCTTCATTTGCATTCACTCACGAACTGCTCTGACGGTTGAACATTTTTGACAGTGACTAGTGACATTTTTGGCCGTAATGCAGTGGTTCTAGCGATCAAGAAAGCGAGCACTGAAGATGTGGAGCACAGCACCAACCTGAAAAGAACCCAATTAGGACACCAGTACCATAAAGTGCGCTGTAAGACAACAAACCTTCGATCCTTTTCAAGACCGTGTAGGGCACGCTCCAGAGAAGTCTAGTGCTGTACTCTGAAAAAAGAACCATAAAATCAAGCGGAATTCAGAAAATTCAATAGCTACCGTTCCTAGTGAGTTCAAAGTTAATAACCTGAAAGATCTCACCCCATGAATCTCGCCCTTCTTGCCGTCCACAAATGCACTCTTGACGCTTTCATAAACAGCGAAGAGTTCTGGAAGAAAAAAAAAAGAATAAACCAAAGAATGACTTCCTTCCCACTAACCCACACGTTGAAAAGCTCATATCTCAACTCGCTCACTCATCCTACTCACACTGCACTGATGAATGTGCCACCCGTCGACACTCCGAATCAGTCCGTTTGCAGATCGTCCCACAAATATACCGCTTGTCGAAGACCGGAACGGCGAACAGGAGCGCAGGAACCGTCTTGCAAATCACGTTCAATGGAAACATGACGCTCCGGCGACGCTACCTGGAAATGTGGGCTCGGTTGGCATGAAATAGTTGGTGGCCAATCGTAGCAAGCCCCTGTGCACGTTTGTCTTACAATGAGTGCGTAAAAAATCAGCGAATGAGATGAGCACTGGGACTTGCCAAAATTCGCCACTCTCTCGCTTTTTTCAAAAATAAAAATTTATCCAAAAATGAGTCAGAGCTGCTTTCGCAACCCATCCCGCTCGATTGTGAGAAATCTGATAGAAAAGTGTTTCCAGAGCCATGGTTGGGTGTCCTTTCAAGGGCGGCATGGATTATGAAAGCAGCAGAAGAAAGTAAATAATGGCTCAGTCTAAGGTTCTCGTCTGCTTCGGAGCGCCATTCGCATTTGCATCGTGTCGCCTTTTGGAGCAAAGGTCTGCCGAAGGTAGCTAGATGTTATGCTCCGTTTCCATGAGGGATTGCCATCCAACTGATTGAATCGTGGTCGGAAGCTGAAAAACGTTCTCTTGCGGCAGCGCTATTTCCGGGAAGAAATCAATGAGAACTCAATCAAACAAGGAGAAATACTTAAAATGGGTTTCCAAGCCGATGATGAAAGATTAATTATGAATGTTTACTATGCGGAATGCCTTGGGATCAGCCCGTGTCAAATCAGCCTTACACCATACACACGTAGTGAGTACAGAAAATATATTTTGTGTACCTTTCGTGGTTGAAAAAAGATCCCAATCCGAGCGTTCTCGGGAACAGCTTCACAGCGATCCAAGATACATAGACGAGGGAAGCCGCTGTATTACAAGAACCACGCAATTTACTTGAGTTGTGATCCTGGAAAAAATATTGGATAGTTGACAGACAGTGTACGCAGACGTTGCCATCACGACGCATCTTCTCAGTTAGATAAATCCACGTAAAGGTATTTCGCAGGGTTATCTGGGAGGACCGTAATGATGGAATCATCACCGAAGCGACTGCCAAATTTGTATCCACCCTCGCTGGCTTCAGCTCATTACTTCCGCCTTCCGCATTAGAATTCTTTCAAAACTAAATCGTTTACAGAAGATTCGTCACTTTGAATTCCATACACTACAGTGTGCAAAGCAAAAGCTGGACTCGGCCTCAAATCAATCCCTCGACTTACAGCGCCTCAGAAGAGCGACATCCCACAATGCAACTCGGCCGGGTGTGGGAACATTTGTACGATGGCAACTAAATTTCACCTCTCATCTAGGCTCGAAGCTATCTCAATTACTTGCTAAGACTCCGTGATCATCATGATGCCTGCATGTGCAGGTGACTAACTAGTGAGAATGATGACAGTAAGAAAAGTAGTAAGAAAGTTATCCTCTTATAGAAAAAGAGTTTTTGAACAGGAAGCTTGAACAGGAAGCGCTTCATAATCACAGATTGAAAGGCCTTAATTGTCAGGCAGACTACATAAATTCAATATGTTCTCTATTCTATCAACCATTCTACTGTTTTCAAGATCACAAGGTGCCCCACACCCTTTCCTGCCTCCCTCCCTCCACCACCCGGCTTCATACAACTCAGGAGTACACCGCCCATGCTTTACTACCATACTGAAGAATACAGAAATTCAGACCAGAAATATGTAGGAATTCCGTCTGTACAAAAAAAAACTATTGAAATTAGTGATGTTGGTATTTTTCCTGTTCAAAACTCAATTTCTTAAAGGAGCCTCAGTTTCTTGTGATACTATTCCCATTAGTAAGTAATCCTCGACTCGATTAATAACGATGTGCAGGTAGAATAATGACCATGGGGTCTTCACACATTATAAGGTTACTTCATGAGTAGATGAGTAGTGCCTTATCAGGTGCCTTCAGTGAAAAGTTTCCATGATGTAGGAAACCATCAAAAAGGTTCAGATTGAGCTTGTACAAGGTGAGAAAAGAGTTCAGCAACCTTCCAAATTTTAGCGTTTTGTGAAACCACATGCATATTCGGCAGAAAGGAATTCACATAAGAGTAAAGAATGCAAAGAAATTAAATATAAAAAATATGTAAAAAAAATCAAATTTTTTTGGGCCAACCGGTTGTAGGTATACGGTAGTTGAAGATTTTTTCTTGTTCAAACTGTTTCCCGCCGTAGCATGGTGGAGCATTTCTTGCCCGAAGAGCACATTCGCTTCAAAATGGAATTTTGTCAACCTCTTCACACTTTGGACGGTTTAAGTACTCAGAGGGGTTCATTTGATATAGTTCGGTTACTAGTTAAATGATTTAGGACTAGTAGTTGAATAAGACCACCCGAAGAAAGTGCACATTATTTATAAAGTAGCGAAAGTTCCAGATATAGTGGTTTGTTTAGATTATTACTATTTCTAGCTACCTATCCTAACAATAAATATCGTTACATAACCATATAACCAACCGTTTAAAGCATTAAGACGGTCATCAACCAATAAATATCACAATTTGAATGCTTGGAAGGCCGCCTTGGACGAGAACCCCTTGAGAAATAGGCGGGCAACTCGTCCGAGGCGGCCACGCACACATGTACAAACGTTTGCTGATGGCGTTTCTAATGTTTTAATCATGAATTTCAATTGCCTTTTGGTAATCCATTTTTGTGAGAGTAGAATATATGGAATGTTTAATCGACACAAAGGTTTGTTTCAGAAAAGTGGCCAGTGTTCAGCTGTTGTTTCCTATACTATGAAGTTCGCTCGTTAGCAGAAATTAAGCAAATACAAGGACTATTCCTATGTATACGCTCTCAGCTGGTTTGTGGGAAAAGTTTTTCAAAAAACGGGATTATTATGTTGTTATCGTTGGTCTAGACAATGTCGGCAAAACGGTAAGGTTTTTAACTTTTGTTTGATTTCTTTTTTTCTTCACTTAATCAAAAGAAACTCAACAGAAACATTCGAAATTTCAGACATTTCTTGAACAGACTAAAGCTCATTTTGTCAAGGGTTATGGTGCGCTCAATCCTGCAAGAATAACAAGCACAGTGGGCTTAAATAGTAAGTAAATTACATTCAGGTTTAGGGAGCAAGGCTTTCTTTCATTTTTACATTCCTTTACTTCATTTGTTTACTTTTACTTATAACTAAATAAGTCATCTATCGCTTTTTATTGATTAAATTGCTTTATCTGCTTTATGATCATTTATATCAATACCTTCTATTTTGTATTTTTCGTGTTTTGTGCTTATATGAACCGATTGCTTGAACCTTTTGCGATTTCAAGTATTTAGTTGGTAAAGTCGAAATCAACAACACCTGTCTCAATTTCTGGGATCTCGGTGGGCAAGAAGATTTGCGTACCCTTTGGGTTAACTATTATGATGAAGCTAATGCACTCATTTTTGTTGTTGACGCAACTAGAAGAGATCTGTTTGAAGAAGTGGCTACAGTATTCAGTGAGTATCTTATCCATCGATCTTTGCCTCATTCAGGATTTTTTTAATTTCCTATTTTTTAGAGCAAGTTATGTCGAATGAATACGTGCGCATGATGCCTGTACTGGTCGCAGTAAACAAAAGCGAGATTGAAGGTGCTGCACCGGCTGCAGAGGTGTTTTTTCTTTACTTTTCTGTTTTCTTTAAGGTTTCGCATTTTCTCTCAACATTTTCTAAAGTTTCAGTGACTTAACTTGATTGTTTTGCTGCCATATAACGTATGAATTTTTGTGAAACTGGGCATTGCCAGGGAGAACCTCTGAACTTGCAGCGTAGGCCCTGGATCGATACGACCTTCTTGAGCTAATTGATGCAAGGGAACGCAGAATACACTCTTAATGCATAGTGTTATACCCGGCCGGGTAGGGTCTAAGATTTGGACGCCTTTCTATCGGCATGACACGTATTGGCCATTTCTAAAAGAAACGTAATCTGAGAGACGTAGCCTAGGAGGTCCTTTTTGATCATGCATTGAAGTCGTAGTACTGCAAAGCCTAACTGGTTTTCATAGAGTTCCATTTAAAGCTTCACTGCATACGTTATCTTCCTCTTTAATTATGCAGTTCATAGGTTCGGCGAATTCTCCAAGATGATCATCATATGGGTGATTTGGCCGTCTTACCTGTGTCTGCTCTCGAAGGAACAAATATCGATAGATGTGTTCGTTGGATTGTTCGTACCCTAGCCAGTCAACCTCTCTATCTGTGATTACTTCAACATGGAACCTCGAAGTTAGAAGTTTCTCAAAATGTAAGTGTGATGCTGGAACAATGTGATCTTTCGGCTGCTATTTCTATTCGGTTTACAACACTTATTTGAAAAACTTATTTCCTGGACTCGTAACGTACCTTTTTTTGGGAAAGGACCACAAAAGCATTTTGCTTAGAGTTTTATGGTGGTTTTAAACAGCCCAAAAGAAATCATTTTGGTTATTTGACTACAGGTGTAATGCTTTTATTCCAAGGGCAGAATGAACGTGAGCATCAATCCTATCTGTAACAGATTTTCGGAGCTTTCTCTTAGATTCTCATCATGATTTTATCGATGTAATTTGCTTTTTACGCTTGGTCAGAATCAAATTATTGTGTGGGTTCAATCAGCCACTTTCCTGATTATAGTTTCCTAGTTTTTTTTTGTAAATTAGCTTTGTCTAGTTAGTAAGATGAATGGGTGAAAGGCATGCTCTTTTTCCTCCTATCAAACGTTGACGGGTCAGGTGGTTTATAACCTTGATTCTCAAACATGCTCGTTTTTCATAGTGTTACATTCTCTCTTCTTTATGTTACCAATTGTGAATTTGATCGCCTTCTTTTCAATAATGATGCACCTTTCAAGCAATATTTTTGAAGCTAAATAAAATGCTGATTAGCATTGTTCATCAGCACTTCGATTCTTTGCAATCTCAAACGGTAACCTAGTATTACCCCTTTTTGACACACATGCTATTACCATTTGTTTCATTCATTGAAGAGATGCATACTACTGTTACGAGCGCGAAGTATAATACGAACACCGCTGCTAGCCCACTAGTGGATGCGTTTATACTTCGCGCTTCTCAACGAAAGGTGGCTATTCATTAAGGTTGGCCCTAGATCGATATTCCTTAGGTGGGAGATTGACGTCACATTAAACAATTTTTCGAGTTTTCATGGGATCCTTCTTTGTGACCTGTTAATTATCATAGAGAATCTCAAATGAATTGTTAAACTTGTGCAGAGCAAGAATCAAAAAAGACCAAAGAAGCACTAAATGAAAGCCAAATCCTCGAGCAAAGGCAAACAACTAATGTATAATAGAATCTAGATTAAGTGGCTGTACATAAAAGAGTAAAGCAAAAGAAGCACCTTGTGTAATCAAAAAAGCATTGACCTTCAGCGTGAATCGCATGAAAGATGCACGGAAAAGTAATATGACTGATTTTATTTCTTTTTTCTTCATACTCTATTACAACATCGACAATGTAGTCATTAATAAGGAACTTAAAAATTTTCTACGAAAAATTGGACCAAAGACCTACTTGCACATATGCTTATCGCAGTACGATTTAGTAAAGCTCATGAAAATACAGAATTGGACAAGGATTCAGAGGCCACGCCTCATAGCTATTGCTATCTTTACCTCCAGTATAAGTACAATGAGAAATTCCGTCAGTTCAAGCGCCGATATAAGATTCAGTATCCCCTAAAGTAAACTTTGAAAGTTCGATTTGGCGGAGCTCCGCCAACGATGGGCGGAGCATGTGTGCCACAACCATGCCCTCAGCGGCTGCTTTCATATTCCACGATTTGGCCTGCGACCGGTCGCGCGACTGGTGGAGCGACCGATCGGGGCCAAATCGTGGACTATGAAAGCAGCCAGCTGTGAAGCTAATTTTGCCATGAACTGTTTGTCTGAAGAATAATCACCCACCCATACGTACTTCATATCTCTCAACTTCCAAGTAATGTCGGTCAAATCGAAGAGATTCTCTTTTCTCACAAGGCCTTCGAGTCCAGAATGGAAGAGTTCGGCAACGAGATGCTGGATCTTATAATGGAGAGCTGTTCGAGGGGGGCGGAGCTCATGCGAAAAATAAGTGGTTCACTTGGAGATGATTCGAGGATCGCTCAAAGTTGACGAGGAATAAACCGGATACTGACATCGAGATTTCGATCGATATCGACAGGAATTATCGATTTTTGCACAAAGCGCCGGAAATGATCAATGGGTCACCACATTGAGCTATTTTAGTCATGGAAAATGAGATTTTACCCAGTCTATGCTACCGATCGAGATCATCCGTTACCGTCATACTTGCTTTAGCGTGCAATAGCCACTCTGGTTAGTTATAGAATATTCACATTATTACGGTAGAGTCAAGAGCTACCATAAGTATGGGAGATCGAGCAGGAATGGATAGAAAAAGTGGTACAAGGAGAAGCAGTTGTATCAGGGATAAAGTGAAAAAGACAAGATCATTAACCAGAGATCGCATCAAATAAATGGGTAGCTCTATGCATGAGATATCAGAAAAACAATCACCATCTAGAGTCACTACACTATTAGACTTGTGATAATGTATGCACGGGATGAAGTAATGTGCTGTCAATAATTTGCGTCGGATCAGCACTCAACGACGATGCAGAAGGCCGACGCGGTTGCGGTGACGTAGCCCATCGTAGACGCTGAAATTACATGAATCTATTACTGGTTACATGCATTATTAGCTTTAGCCACTGCACTCAAGAACCATGTGTTGGCGGTTTTGCCGAGACCTCTGTGCGCTGGCCATTGGTCCACTGGCTCTTCGAAGTTAACACCAATATCAAGCGCTCAACAGTCTCAAAGCATCGTTCGATAACTTAACCTTCTCCTTCAATGGCATTTTATGGCCAACCAGCGAGCTAAGTTAATTGGTTGTGGAAGATTTTCTTGCTATTGCCGTCATGTATGCTTGCCATGTATTGTTACATATCTGTTGTGATTATGTTCTCGTATTTGTGTTGTATCATACTTGTCATGTCTTCAAAGCGTTATCTTGGAGATAAAGAATGGATTGATCGTATGGCGTTATTATTAATTTGTCCCAGTGTGCCTGGGAAAAGGCCATTGTAACCAGTGACCGTCATGGGGAGCAGGGGGTATATAAGCGTGAGGAGGCTAATGCAAAGCGTTTTTCATGGAAGTGTCCTGGCTTGAAGCGGTTGGTTTCGAAAAGGATTTAGCAGCTACAGGCACTACGAGGAACGGGCAGAAGAGGCTAGAGGTAACTTTTCTAGCCTTAGGTCGGAAGGCGGTTAGTCCAGTTGAGTTACCAGCGTAGCGCCACGACAGCACTTCCTCTCGTGCCGTTGGAGCCTAATAGTTCACCGAATCGCCCATTGTGCATCCAAGTGTACCGAGGCCGACCTTATCCGTATTTGCCTTTTTGTGAGGAAGATTCGAATAAAGAGTTTCAAGGGCGATTGTAATCGTTCCTTAAGCGGTTGATGCCGAAAATGTCGTATTGATTTCGCAATTGTAGATTTGTATTAGGAACCAGGTTCATTGAGAATGTTCTAATACTCGATAGGCTACGACTACGACTACGTTGGGTACTCTCGGTTCACTCCCTTTCACTTTTCTTTTTCAAATCCCTTAATGATCATATTCCGCTTTTCTGCTATTGATTGGACGAAGGCAGTCTTTGTTGCATATACTGGATTGAATCGTAAGCTTAAGCATACCTTCCTAGCATACCTACCTTGCCATACCCTAAGACACAAGTGAAAATTGGTTCGCCAAATTCAAAAACGGAGATTTCTCTATACAAGAAACTTCGAAGTCGAGTCGCGGATGGACCGAGATTCGGATGTTTTGCGTTCCGTTGTAGAGGAGTACTCGCATTTTATCACCAGGGAAATGGCGGCCATGCTAAGCTTCGGTCAATCGGCTACTCCACATGAACTAGAGAAGCTCGGTAAGACTGGTCGATGGGTCCCACGTGAGCTGTCCACTTATAAGCTCTCGAGGAGGGTGGTCACCTGCGCTTCTCTCCGAAGATCTCAAAAAGCACTTCTCTCTGGATTCGATGATCGCTGAGGATGATGAGTAGTTCTAATGCGGTAGTCCTGTGAGGAAGTGACATTCCGACACAGGAGAAAAATCGGATTGAGCCCCAAGGTCACCTTCACCTCAAGGAAGTTGTACTGTCTTACTGGGGGTACACGACAGGCGTCAAACGATGCCACATACATAGCTGCAAAAACTGAAAGCTCTTGTCCGTACGGTTAGACCAAGTGCGGAAATCCACTTCCCCCAAGACGATGTCAGACCTCACAGCAAGGACGACTTAGCTCGAATCGGAAGAAAACGACCTAAGGGTCCTCCCGGCTCAAGACTATTCAAGCCATGCTTATTCTGCGAGTCCCGCCTACATCTTGACAAGTTGCAACGTCATTAATTCACAACAACGGCGGTTCCAAGGGTTGAGAATATGTCTCATTGAAAAAAATGTCGCTTATATTCAACCTGTTTTACATATGTACTACGGATCTTCTCTGAGGGTTCTCCCACCTAAAGGATCCCAGCCGGTTAGCGACGAGGCTACGTGGCGGGTAGGGGAGTAAATCACCGACCAAAATTCGCCAGTACTTGCCCAGAGACGCAAATCAATTCAGGGGAGTTGGGCTAGCTACAAGTTGGGTACCCACTCGCCAAAAACAGTAATAGAAATGCTCCTCATTCCCCTGAACCTGAGGGAACCCCCAATACAGCAGCGTTGGGTAGGACTGCTCGGGGGAGGTTGCTAAAATCTCAGGACCAAAACAGGCTGCTCAAATGGAGAACGACCAATATGGCGCTCTGTGCTTCAACGCACGGACCCTTGCATCGCAAGCGTTATATAAGACCTGATGATGCAAGCTAGGAAGATCAAGTACAACATCATCGGACTGACAGAGACGAGAAGGCATCGCCCGCTGCACGCGGTATTTGAGGCTGGAGAAGAACTGTCACTAGGAACAGGCGACACTAGAGGCGCCGACGGTTCAGGTGTCCTAGTCAATACACACTTGGCCATGAACATCGATTCGTGCGAAAGCTTAACAACCGGAATCAGATGTTTGCGATTAAGAAGATGTGGATCAACCACAGCTCTTACCATCTTCGTTGCCTACGCACCATTATAAAGCTACGAAAAAGAGGAGTTGGAGGCGTTTTATATGGATCTGGAAAGGCTCTACAGGGAG